CGTCTTATATCTTTATTTTATGTATTAATTCCGTTAGTTCCGTTATCGTCTATCGGTAGCCGCATTCCGTATGTAATATACCGCGTTTCGTATCGTCTTATACCTTTATACCGCGACGGACTCCGCTCTGTCAAATACCGCGCTGCGTTATTCCCGCCTCTGCGTACCGCATCTCGAGGCGAAGACTCGAGTCCCGATATTTCGTATACCGCGTCGCGTTGCACCGGCACTACCGATCACTGTAATTTACCGCGTCCAGTTTGTATGTAATACCGAATCCTGAGTATTTTATATTATAGTTCATATTATAGTTTTGAATAAAGTGTATGTTGCTGTCACATGGCAAATTGATTACTGTCTCTGGGCCTTTCATCGAACTCCCGATCCTGTGAACCAGTCCGCGTTCGATAAAGTCAGGCCGTTACAAATTTATTTAAATATTTTTTTACAACAATTATATGTTGACAAACACACGTTACGACTCGTTTTACTTAAAAAATCATAACTCACGAACAAATTGACGAAGCTTAATGAACTAAAACGCAAATTAAAGCTAAAAGTAGTGCAAATGAGAAAAAAAATATGAGATAATTATTAATTAAATAGGAATACTTAATTTCGTCGCCGCAAATTTGGTAATTTTTAAATGGTACAGAAGGACTTTAAGGACTTAAAAAATGCTAGAAAAAGAATTTCTGAATAAGAAAAGGCGAATTTACAGTGTGACAGATATTTTTTATGTAAAAAAATTAATTTTTTTTTTATAATCGTAGCTCTTCCCCACCTCTTCCACCTGCCTCTGAGCCATAATAGACCTCTGTGGAATGTTAAATTTTTTTTTTAACGACAAAAATATTTTAAATATGGTTAAATTATAAACAAAAATACATTTTTATCGAAAAAAATGCTCATTTACCTTTCACACAACACTGACGTAATTCTCCAACCATGCACTTTCGTGTCCCACCGAGATTTTGATTGTTCCCCGTTTCGAAAGTAAATGAGCTAGGACTTTGAAATTTTTACCTGAGGTTCCCTGCCACAATAACTTTTTCCCGGCGTGGAGGAGATTCTCCCAGGATCATTTGTTTTCCGGAACAAACGACTGTTAGAAATTCGTGGGACACGAAAGGCATGGTTGGAGCGAATAGGGATATATATATATATATATTATTCGTATTTAATCACATAAATTTATTTGTGCATGGACGTGATATACATATACTTTTACAAGAACGTTGCAAAGTATAAATTAATTGGTTGATATATAGGGTGTTGAAAAATTAGACCGATAAACTTTGCAGGGAAAGAAAAGATTTGAAAATAAATAAATAAATAAATAAATATATATATATATATATATATACATATATATACTTTAACGTTTACGAGTGTAATTCCAAATTTTACGGTCGTATCGTAATTCACGGGAGAGCAGATATGTAACGCAAAACTTTCTTTTTTATTTGACGTTGTATAAATAATTCGAAAAAATGTTAATGTTTTTATTATTGAGATATCCTCTATGATGATAATTAAACAATTGTAATTGATGTTAAAACACTTACGTGTTGTTTTTGCATCCTTCGGACTGGAAACCGTTGTTCTCGATTAGATTAAAGTACAATGCGAAGAAAGAGATAGGCAACATCCACAGCAAAACTAATAGAATTGTAGTATTTCTTGAAAGAAAAATGAAAATATAACTGCGTTGCTTATGGGAATTCTTCCGACAAAGAAGTAAATTGTATTACCTGTACGTCAGGATCGAAAGGTAATGGAGAGGTTTAAGAATGCCCAGATAATGATTGACTGCCAGAGCCATTAGATGAAATACCGTAATTATCACACTTCCCAATCGCACGACTTCGAGAGCCAATAGAAAACAGTCCATGCCTAAGAACAATGCGTCGAATATTCTTTGATTCGTTTTTTATATTTGCAAAACGTTCGTTCACGTGAGTTGCTTGATCTCAAAGCTTTATTAAAACAGCTCGTTTTACAATATGTATCGAAAGAATCGGACAGACCAGGAAAGTTTCTATACTCTATATCGTAAAAAGAAATTGAACGCAATTTTTTTATCTTATTATTAAATCTGATTATTTATCTTATTATTAAAAGTTGTGCTTTTTCCTATTATTCAATAAGTACTAATTTTTAAGATTTAGTTACTTAAAAATTCCGAGATCGAAGATGAATTACGTTTAAAGTTATATAAAAATGCGTTTTTTCGATCAATTAAAACGAAAACGATATCCATATTAACGATCCATATTAACAAGATCTTACCTTTCAATTTGATTCCAAGACCAAAAGGTATGAAACTATTTAAAACTAGTCCTATGCCCAGAATACTGCTGGAGAAAGCGTCTGCGCCTAAAATTATTTTCAGGGATAGTTTCTCTCAAAAATAATATTCTATTTACAGAGGTGTGCGTGTGCGTGCGTGCGCGCGCGCGTGTGTATGTGTAACCATAATAACTTATCACACAAATGGAAGTTGTTTTTAATATGCCTTTTAACATCAAAGAGAGAATCAAGTTGTTATGTCGAAAAATTAAAGATATCTTTATATTGAATTTTAAAAAGAATATAAAGAATTTGAAATATTCTTAAATATAGGAAAAACTGGCATTACAAATGTCGACGTATATTAGTATATTGATATTTTAGCATATGTTAGTGACTAAATAGAGTCAAAAGTTTTAATAATGTCGAAAATACAAATAACTTTCTTTGTTTATTTCCGTTTAATATATACAAAGCGATGCAAAGGAATATTATGAAAAATAGTTTTTACCTATAGAAAAGCACGAAAAAGATTTAATTCTCATGATTTTTAATTTTTCGATTACATTTCAATTTTTACAATAAAAATATTATTTATGTCACACGCATTTACGTCTATCACGCACGCGTCGCGTGCGTAATGGGCCACTTTCCACGCACTTGCAACATAAAATAGGGTGTGTAACACGTGTGTTATTAAGTTGAAAATTGGACGTGCGGGTGATCGCACTCGCCTCCGGCTCGTGCGTCCACTCCGCACGTCCAATTTCCATCTTACAGCACTTGTTACACAAATAACTATTTCCGCTCGTTTGAAGCAAAGGCTATAATAAGGAATAGGACCAGTATACGAGCAATAATCGATGTTACAAAAATTTTTTAAATTATTTTTTGTAACATCGGTTATTGCTCGTAAACTGGTTCTATTTCTTATTATTTCAATTTTTATATAATAATTTAGCTATGATCCTGTCAAATGCGCGTCGCTCATTTATATATCATGGAGCTATATAATATCTCTAATCTATATGTTATTATAACTATAGGTATTAATAAATTACAGATTATATATATATATATTCTATATATTATACATACGAGAGTCGTTTAAGTCAAACCGGAACTTTTAAGGGTACGCAATAACAAAATGTATTTATAGAAGTGAAATAAACTACATTTATTTTTTTATATAGTCTTCTGCTAAATATGCACTTGCCCCAGCGTTTCACTAATGCCTGGATATCAGTAGCATAAAAAGATTTGTCTGTATACCGGAGCCAGGATCGGACAGCGTGTTTTACCTCGTCGTCAGTTCTGAAATGCTGGCCTCCCAAGAAGTTTTTTTTGAAGGTCCAGAAATGAAAATCGCTCGGAGAGAAGTCCGGGCTGTAAGGAAGATGAGGCAATATCTCTCAGCCAAGTTCTAATAATGTGCAAGTAGTGCGATGGGCAGTATGATGTACGGCCATCTTTAAATCGTTTGCACCATTCAAATGCTTTACTACGGCTAATTGTCTCATCATCGTACTGTGCTTGAAGTCTTCTGTAAATGTCCGCCGGTTTCTCGTCTTCATTTACAAGAAACTGCATAATAATTCGCTGTTCCATATGTGCGTTAACACTGTTCTCCGCTATTTTGTACTGCAGATTATTAATTGACCTGAGAGAAGAAAGCTACATACTGATGATAGGAGACACTTGCCACTTACTGCTATAAAAAAACTCGTCGCGATCGCATTTGTTTTATATCCTGTGCAACTAAAAGTCCCGATTTGATTTGAACGACCTTCGTATATATAAAATTACTGTACCTGCTAGACTCAAACTGATATATAATGTTGGACTGAGTGGGCGTCTAATCCAAAATACGCTCATCAGAACTTTGATATTTACGACTATTGAAATAATGCAAAAGAGGATCAGAGGTGGTGTTCCATACAAATACAGTATTCCATCGACATTCTCGATTTGGCTCGATATATTCACGCTTTGCGTCGCCGATTCATTAATCATTGTCACATTCCTGGATTCTATCGACACGCTCGTAGATTCTATCGACCCTTCGAATACGGAACTATTAACCGTAGCGATGTCAGGGATTGATAAATTTAACATGCGATATGCACGTCGTATTGTGACAGTTTCCTCGGTCTTCATAATGCCATTATAACATCATAATAATATTCACTTTCATATCCTCCTCTTTTAATATTGAAATATTCACTTTTATCCTCCCGATAGTGAATATTCATAAGTTGTTTACCTCGAATTGCGCATTTTATGAAGTTGAGCATTCTAAGTTTAGTAGCAGCTGGTTACTTCGCGTATTCGAAGTTTTATCTGAAAATACAATTTATATTAATGAGAAAAGATTCTATGACCAGACATTAATTAAAAGCAAGAAAATAGAATGTAGGTAACGAATGTTCACACAGCAAATCTATTACGAGATTAAAATATACCTTTTCGAAATGTTATATTTTTTATCATTAAACGTACCATTTTATTCTTAGCACTTTCCAAGATATACGAAATCGTAATCTTATTTTTCAAAACTTTAATTTTTCATTTAATTATGGTAGAAAGGTCTACAGAAGCAAATTTTTTGTTTTAACAAACTTGTAACATTAGATTATAGTTAACTACAATGACATTGTAGTTAACGATAATCTATAAAGATACAAAACTGATAAAAAACATTTTATTTAGAGTGTGTTAAGCGTACATTTTACGCATTCTTATCTTAAGATTAAATATAAATCATCAGTTATATTTATCTATCGACAAGCTAATGTGGGTGAGAGGATCTCTAAAGTGATATGCGTTCCCAATAATTCTGCTTGTTCTTTCTCTTGACCGAGAGTTTCTTTTCTTATCAAAGATCCGAACTTCCATCCATTCCAAGCAGTTAATACATAGTGAAACAAGGTGACAATACGCTTTCATCCCCTCGCTTTCCACAACTTTCATTTCACGGCTTTTTCTCCTGTTACGATAATAGCAAAAACTTTCGAAAAATCGATCACATTCGGTCATCCGTGCAAGAAAGATATTTCGTGCGTTAAATCTTATTCTCGTGAAGTGACGTGCTAAAAATTTTCTATTCTTGTTGGTCGTTAATATTCAGACGTGACAACCGCTTCAGCCGCCCGGGACGAATTATAATTTACAAGAAAACAGTTAGCCGTGTGAGAGAACGAATCTGAGGTACAAGTCTAATCTGTAAAGAGCTAAGTGCGTCATTCTCTCGAGACGAAAGCTATCGAGTTGGAAGTTTGTGTATTTTATTAAGCTTTCGCGCGGCACTTCGTAATTTTTACTAATAGCAGATGAGAAAAATAAATCATTATTTCATAACATTTACAGACGACAATTATTGCTTCAAATTCTTTAAATAAAAACTCGGATTTGAATATTTTGCTCATTGGATTTCTCATCGAATGATGTAGCATAGATTCAGTGTTTGCACGTCGATGACCTATTGAAATTTTTCACCATTCGAAATTCGTTTATTATACTAATTTCTGAGATGTGTCGCAGCATTGAAATATAATAATGCGTCAATATGACAACATTAATTTGTTATCTCATCAAAGTTTCATTAAAAAGTTGATTCGGTCATAACCAAAGCTTTTAAGACTTGTTTTTTTTTTACAGAAAATTTTTAGATTATTGAAGGAATTATGAAATATAATGATGTTCGACATAATCGTTAATTAAGGAATTTCATGTTTGCAAAATCTGTTAAATTCATTGAAGTTGTGAAATTATTTTTAGTTAATATCAAGATAAAAAAAAACAAAGCTTCCTTAAAATACTTAACTAAAAAAAGATTCATTAAATTTTGAAGAAGGAGGAGTTTTATGACATTGATATCATAAGATATTAACACTTTTTAAGTATTGTTAAACGATAAATAATTTTACATGATCGCTCTCTCACATCAAAAGCGAATTACTCAATTCATTTTCGGCTCGGTACCAAGGGGAATCAAGAAAAATTGAACATCCACAGAAAGTACATATCAAATTTCCCTTGATAAAAAAATATGGAAAAAGGATCTCTCTCTCTCTCTCTCTCTCTCTCTCTCTCTCTCTCTCTCTCTCTCAACGTTTTCAATATATAATCATAAGATTGGACAGGATGCGCACATCTCAGTACACAGAAAAGACAGTTTTGCTGAAATATTATAAAAATTCAACTAAATACAGATCTGAAAATAATTATGTTAGACCATCTAAATAATTATATTAGATGCTTAAGCTGGTTGTTAGAATGTCAAAACTTTTTGCAGCATTATCATTATGCTTAAATGTCAAGCTACAATAATATCAAGCTAAATAATGTAATTATTTTGATATATAGTCCAATAACATAATTATTTTCAGATCTGTGTCTACCGGGTTAATTTTTATATGTATCAGCAAAACCTTTTTTCCGTGAATTTTTCTCAGTCCTATTACTCGTGTCCGAGCGTGGTGAATTCTTTTTATATACATATGTTGTGTACGTAGATTATACACATTGTATATGGGATCAAGAGACACGGTAGTGTCTCGCGCCAAGTACACGCGGAGCGAGATCGACCGTGACTCTTTTACGCGACGCGACGGGTTGCGAGTACCCGAGATGTTGAGATCTCGATAACGAGTGAACGGATCAAGTTCTAAGTAGGCTTGATCGATAGCTTGGGGTCCAATTAGGGGGGGGGGGTTTCTCTCATAATATTCCGCTACGTGCCCTACGAGCGGAGATATTGCGACGCAAAGTCCAAATGTGAAAAATTTTTATTAAGATACGTCGTCGTCGTCGTCGTCGTCGTCGTCTACGTCGACCGCTCTCATCTCAATAGATTATCAGAGAAACGTCACTTTCACTTTTTCGACGCTGGCGGCGCAGGTATCG